TAATTTGATGTAAACTGCCCAGAGTCCCCCATTGCGGGGAGATGGGCGGGGATAAGTCTACCAAATAAAATAAATATATAAAACCCCCTAATTAAAATGCCCTTAAGGTAAAAGGGGGGGGGGGACAGGCTAGGAGAGGAAAGGAAAGCCAGAAGCTCCCTTGCAGAGGCGACAGAAGAGTGGGCGAAGGGACCGAGCCCCCCTCAGTCACATTTCACACGTGCCCTTCGTGGGTCAGTTACATTCTCTCAACCCAACCTACCTCACAGGGTCGTCGTGAAGATAAGGTTAGCCCCCCTCCCATTGAGCTCTCCGAGGAAAATAAACAGTAACGTCGCTCTCCCACTCAAAGCAGGATAGAAACGGAAGAGAAGCCTACAGTAAGGGAGAGGACAAGGCAAGGCGTCCCAACCGGGCTGGCTGGGGCATGATGGGATTTGTAGTCCAGCCTGTCTGGGGGATGCCGGAGGAAGGAAGGGTAATCCAGCCGCATCTCGGGGTGGAGGAGTAGAGGATAAAGGCGGCCCGCGGATGTGGGGGCGCCTCCTGATCTCGGCTGGGTGGAGGAATTGGGACCTGCCCCTCCCCTCCGCCCGCTTCTCGCCTCACCTGCGTAGGCCCAACGCCGGCGCTCCCGCCAATGCCCCGCCGGACAACGAGTCCCATCGAGACGCCCGTCCGCCACGGCCTTTCACACACCTTGCGCGGCCGTCGCCACCGGCGGCTCCTCCCACTCCCGGCCGCCGCCTTTGTCACCCCATTGGCGCCAGCGCCTGCCCCCCTCCGCCTTCAAGCGACACGGGATTGGCTCCCGGATGCCGGGTTCTTGTGCGACGAGTATGAAAAAAAAAAATGGGGAGGAGGAGGCGAGGAAAGGGGCGGTCTTTAAGGCCGCGAGGGCGGTGCCGCTCCCCACACCGCCCCGCCCAGCAAAGGGAAGAGGCGGCGCGCCATTGGGTCCTTGTGACGCAAGGGGCGGTGCCCTTCGGCGCCATTGGTGGAGTGGGCGTAATGGCGGTCAGTGGAAGAAGGAGTCGCGAGTCGGAGGGGTAGAGTCACGTGGGGCGTAGAAGACGCCTCAGTTCGCCGCCTAAGGCTGCCATTTTGAGGAGTCGCCTCGGGGCTTTGCTGGCCGCTGGAGGAAGTGACAAGGAACCGGGGCGGGGAGAGGCCCACCCCGCCCCACCCCACCCCAAACGCTTAGGTCAGAATCCAGCCCATTC